AAGTTCTGCCTGCTTCTTTAGAGGCCCAGAGAGATGAAGGGACTCTCCAGGGACACAGAGCTCCTTACCTGGCCCTTGCTGAACAAGGATAATTGTGTTTTCTTTTATCCAGCCTCTGTGCCTCTATGAGGCTCTATTCCCAATTCCCTGTGGGACCCTCTTTTAGGAAATGGGAGGGAAGTAATCACCACTTCCCGATCCCCAGCCTTCCTGAGTCAAATGTTGAATCTGTACATCCAGCAGATTGACCAAAAGGCTACGAAGCCTTGAAAACTTATGCTAAGTGAAATACGCCAGACAGAAAAGGACAGGACCTGTGTGATACGACTCCACTTATACGAGGTACCCAGAATGGGCACATTTGTAGACAGAATTAAAATAGAGGTTCTCGGGGCCTGGGGGAGGGAAAATGAGTACTGAGTTTCAGTTTGGGAGGATGAGCAAGTTCCGGAAACGGATGGTGGTGATGGCTGACATCATTGTAAGTGTACTTGGTACCACTAGACTGTGCAAGCAAACACAGGCAAAACGGCAAATTTTATGTTATGTATATTTTACCACAATAAAAAACTTATTTCAAAAAAAGAAAAAGACGATGATGCCAAAAAGGATTTGTCCTTATCACTCCCAAATTTCTGGCCCTGTTGTTTTTTTCTTCGTTCCTCAGTTTAATTTATTTTGGGGGTTATTTGCCACTGAGTTACTATTTCATTGTAAATGATAATGCACCTTGTGATAAAAATGATTATATGTTAAGGAATAACTCTTATCGATAATTGTTTCATTGCGTCTTTGCTTTCCCCAAATGGAATAAATAAATATTTTAGACATAATCAGGTTTGTTTTCTCTATTTGGGCCAAACAGACAGAGATGTTGAAACGATATAGATCTTTAAAATACTGCAGATGAGTCTTGACGTTGCTGAATTGTCATGCATCCCAGGTACCCGGGCTTGAGATCCAGGCTATCTCTTTTAATCAGGAAAATCATTTTCGTGATACTCGCGTTTTGAGTCCTGTGGGGTTGGGGAGAGGACCAGAGGGAGCATTTCAGAGTCAGAATTTGAAATGACACTGAGTCCCGCCCCCGCCCTGCCGGTGCGGCAGTCTGCATTTTAATTCCTGTCTCGTGGCCCGCTTGCCCTCCTTCCCATCTCGGAGTGGTGGCACCGGGTGGGAACATGGGCAGTGGCGAGTCCTGGATGGGATGGAGCCTGGGTTCACGTGACGATTTGCGCAGCGGCCCAGGAAGGAGTTGGGCTGCCGCAGAGCAGCCGCTTCCGTGGCGGGGAACCCCACCCCCATGGAGACTGGCCCCAGCCTGGCCTCTGTTCCGGGACGGAGTGCGTGTGCTTAGCAGCAAGGTGGCTTGAAACCAGGCTGTCCTCGGGCTGTGCCCTTCACTGGCACTGACTTCATGTTCCCTCCCCGTAGCCAGGATGGGTTTTGCTCGTTCGTCCACACTCTCCTGCCTTGGATCCAGACTGGCACGACTGGCTGGTCAGCGGGCCTGGCTGGGGAGGAAGTGTGTGGCCTGCCTGTGTGGGGGTGGCTGAAATCCGTAACCTCGCCGTATTAGCTTCCTGTGGCTGCCATAACAAATTACTACGGAGTTGGTGGCTTAGAACGGTTCTGGAAGCCAGAGCTGCACTCCCTCCAGTGGCTCTGGGGACGGTCTTCCCTTACCTCTTCCAGCTCCTCGTGGCTCCAGGTGTCCTTCCTTTTGTGGCTACCTCACTCCCTTCTCTGCCTGCCTCTGTCTTCACATGGACACCTGTCATTGGATTTAGGGCCAACCTTAAATCCAGGATAATCCCTTCTCAAGATCCTTAATTAAATTGCATTTGCAAAAGCCCTTTTCCCAAATAAGGTCACATTCAGAGGTTCCAGGGAACAGGACATGGAAATGTATTTGGAGGGCTGCTACTCAACCCACCATGCTTGCCCTAATTAGCAATGAGGTCCCCTAAAAATGGGCCCATCCCAGCTTTTTTTTTATTTGCAAAGTGCCTGAGTTTGGTACCAGGCAGAGCAGTGGCCTTCAGAGACAGATGAGACCGCCAGTGGCCCCAGGTTAGGATGAGGGCATGAGGGAAGGGTGCGGTTGGCACAGGGGAGAGGCGCCCGAGTGGGATTCTCTGACTCGCGCCTGTTGGAGAGTGAAGTGCTTACGCAGAGGGACACTGTCCTGTTGGTCTCCGTCCACCCCCCAGCAAGGCCCAGCACAGGTGCCAGCAGTAAGTGCAGAAGGAAGGGCCGAGTCAGTCTTGAGCGACTCAAGTGGACAGCAAGATGCTGAGACGCTGGAGGAGCAGAAGTGGCTCATTCAGCCGTTCACTCGGCACTTAGTATGTGTCGGGGGCCCTATTTCATCCCAGGCCCCAGCCCTGCCCTGGTGCAGGCATCCTGGCTTGAAGATACGCTAGCTGATTTCTGCGTCCTGTGTGGTGCCACCCCTCCCTCCCCTGGGGACCTTTGGAAGGGTGCTAGGTCTTAATCCCCTCCCCTTGGGGCCAGTTATGAGCTCTAGGAGGGGGGCAGGGGGAAGGGGATTGGCCAAAAAGATGCAGGTCCCTGGCTGTGTGTTCCAGGGGGTTCCTGCTGGGGTGGAAGGTTTAACCTAATGTTCTTAAAGCTCCTCCCCACCGAGCTTCCTAAAACGTACCCCAGTAGGGTGAACTGAACATGCTTGAGAAACTGCAAGTGCCTGAAGGAGGGCATGGGGCACAAACACCCCAAAGCCCAGAGAGAGGTGGCGTGGGGGCTGCTTCTGGATGGGGCTCGCGTCTAGCTCTGTAGTGACCAAGGCCAAGGAGAAGGAGCCACCAAAAGAGGGGATCAGACAGCTGTAGCTTTCTCTCTAGGAACCTGGTTTCAGGGGAGAGTGTAAACCTGCTAAAAGTTTCTCGTTGGGCCTCGTTTCTAACAACATATCATCACGTCTCATGCCTGCTTTGGGCCTCAGGGGCAACTGAGGACCCAGCTTTTATCAGGTGACACCAGGAGAAACTTGGCAGCTTTGATCCCCTACAGCAAACACTCGTGCCCCCCTTATGGTGGGTCTGACGTTGCCTGTGTGTTTGTAACAGGCTGAGCTGTGCACACCGCGAACGTTGGCCCAGAGTCTGGGAGGTGGCAGCAAGTGCCATATAATGAAGATCACGATTGCTATGGGGGAGGGGGTCCTAGCCCTCTGTTTCACTGGAAGCTGTTCAAGAGCGGGGAGTGGCTTTTTTATTCTCTTCCCAAAGAATCTTCTAGAGTAGACCCTGCAGGAGCTACGATACGGTAGTTCTGTGTCAGCTCCCTGTTCCCTGGTATTCCTTAGAAGACGATGGTGTCAGAGTTGGAGGTATAAGAGCCAGAGCCATAAGAGCCTGAGAAATTCTCTCTCCACCTTGGTTGGCGGGGACCCAAGTAGTCACGGAGCTTGAAAAGGAAACATCTGTATTTCACTCATTGACGGGAAATGGTAACTATCAAAATACAAGAACAGCCATTTGGTTTTTGTCTTCCCACTTGGTGCATCTGGCTTAGCGTTCAGCCAGGTTCATACCTCATACCTTTGGGGAGGAGAGTGTCATAGTTGGGGCTGCCATAACAAAGTACTATGGGTTAGAAACAACAGAAGTTTATCTCACAGTTCTGGAGGCTCGAAGTCGGAGATCAGGGTGCCAGCCTGATTGGTTCTGGGGAGGGCTCACTTCCTGGTTTATAGACAGCCACCTTCTTGTGGCTGGGAGAGAAAAGGCAAGCTCCGTAGTGCCTTCTGTCAGGGCACTAATCCCATTCACAAAGGCACCATCATTATGACCTAATCACCTCCCAAAGGCTCTACCTCCTAATATCATCACATTTAGGAGTTAGGATTTTAAGCTATGAATCTGGGGGAGTGAGGGACACAAACATTGAGGCCATAGCAGAGAGCCTCGTGACCCAAGGTGTGGGACCCGGCGTGCAGTCACACCACCTGGATTTGCAGGTGCAAAAGGTGAGGCTCAGAAAGGGGAAGGGGCTCCCCAGGGTTAAACATAAAGTAGATGCCAGTCAGAACTGGAACCCAAGTCTCCCGCCTCCCCGTCGGAGCATCCGCACCCACGCGCTGTGCTCCCTGGCCATGTTAGCGCTGACATTGCAGCTGCCTGCCTTCCAGCCGAGGTGGGTGCCTCCCTGCGTGGGGCCGTGTGCAAAGCAGGACTTGCAGAGTGGGGTCACAGATGGGGCCGCATGCTGGAAACACTGTCGGGGGCGGGAGGAGAAGAAAGAAAGGGGCAGGAGGGTGGGGAGAGAAACTCAGGATGCTGAGCAGCAGTCGGTCGCCTGCCAAAATTCTTCAGTGCGGCTCGTCTGGCAAAGCCAGTCTCCAGCCGAGTAAATACAGCGGATGGCTGACGGGCTGACAGCAGGCATCAAACGGTCCTAAACTGCCCTGAATCCGCAGCGCTTTTGAAGCAGCAGTAGAAAAAGGATGCCCGCGCAGAACAGAGGCCTAAAACTTTTTAATAGTTTCTTCCAGGCCTCAGGATGTCCTGATGAGGTATTAGAGGAAGTAATTCAGGAAGAAAAGGACAAATAACCGCCTCCGTCTGAAGGCCGACCCGAAGGCTGGCCGCTGCTGCGGGCAGAAAGGGCAAGCGTGGCCCCGCAGTGATCCGCGAGGCTGTCGCTAGCCCACCCGCCTGCCCCGGCACCGAGAGCCGTGGGGCGCTGACCCTTGTCAATATCAGACAAGTAAATTTCTTGTTTGCTTCGGGGCAAACGTAAACCACGCAGTGCCCGCTGCATGTGGGTAAAATCATTAACTTTTCCTCCCTGTTGGAAGGGTGCTCGGGACAGATTAGACATCATTGCCTTGGCCCCAAGGCCCTCCCAGGGATCCCCCGACCGCCCCCCAGACAGGAACCTGTCAGGACTGCAGGACGTCAGAGGAAACCGTGGGGGCCTGCCAGAACTGAACTCACCCCCCTCTCTCTGTTTTCTCTTTTCCGTTTTTCCTTTAGGGTTTGGCTTTGTCACTTTTGAGAATGAAGATGTTGTGGAGAAAGTCTGTGAGATTCATTTCCATGAAATCAATAATAAAATGGTAAGTCTGCAGGGGTTGCGCTGAAACGGGACGCCCCTTCCCCTGTGTGTATGCACCCCTGCCCTGCAGACTGCTTCAGCCGATCTGCGTGCCGAGTGGGCGGGGGCAGGCGCGGGACAGACTCAGGGTTCCGCCCTGTGAACGGGGGGGGCAGTTCTTGGGACAGGGGTTGACAAACTCTTTCTCTAAAGGGCCAAGTAGGAATGTTTTCTGCTTTGTGGGCCGCACAGCTGACTGCAGCTACTCAACTCTGCTGTTGTGTAGCGCAAAGGTGTCCCTAGACAATGCGTACGTGAGTGAGTGGGCTGCGTTTCGGTAAAGTTGTATTTATGGACACTAAAATTTGAATTTCATGTCATTTTCATGTGTCATAAGATATTATTAATTTTTTAACCATTTAAAAATGTAAAAATCATTCTTAACTCTTGGACTTTACAGAAACAGGCAGGGGGGGCAGAGTTGGCACATGGGTTGTAATTTGCCAACCCCTGGTTTAGGATGTGATTTTGCTGTTTGGCTTTTGGAGGGTATGTCCTAGATGTGAAGTTGACCGCACCAAACCATTTCTCTCTTGGGCCCTGCTGGGTAATTAACATCCCCCCTCCCCCCACCAGCTTGCGATCAGTTCATCTTTACCCTCATAATCAGCTGCTTTCTGCCCTCCCTTTTGGTTCTTTAAAGTTCTTTTCTGCTGCGGCAGCCTCAAGAGGAAGGGAGGTTGGGTTACGGGAGGTGTGGGAGCCAGGTAGGTCTCCCAGAGGAATGGCCACCAGAGGGTGCCAGACCATGCGCATCCTCCAAGACTCAAATTCCTTCCTTCAAACTGAGTAGTGGGGTGAGAAACCCATTTTTTGTTGGTTCTAGAATAATGGGAGCACAGCAGGTGTTTCTGGGGCCATCAGCAGGTCCTTTGGAGCAAAAACATTTTGGTTGGCCAGCGAAGCCTCCAGCCTCAAGAGAAGAGAGAGGGCAAATTTGTGTTTCAACTGCAGCTGTAACTTTGATATTTTCTTCCTTTTGTCAAAACATTCTTTGCTTCTGAAACATGCATTCAGATATGCACAGTATATTGGTCTGATATGTGTTCACCAACTTTAAATTCAATAATAGAGCTTTTAGTGTGGATAAGATCAAAGCAATCTGCTTAGCATGTGGTGCTACAGGCCTGATTCAATATTTGACTTGCTAATTTTTTCCCAGGGCACTAAAATAATATTGTTCATATTGTTCCTAGCCATCATATGCATCTGAAATGAAAATACTCCTTCTTTGCATACTGTATGTTGGAGGCATCAGCTCAGGCATTAAAATGGTACCAGGGACGTAAGTGTGTAGGAATAACACAGTGCCCCTTTAGGCTTTCTCTGCCCCCCAGACGTTGGTGCCTTCCAATTGGTACTTCTTTCTCTCGGCAGGTTACTAGTTGCTATTTTTAAAACTAGAAAGACAGAGGACTTAAATGAAACCTGGGTCCGGTGCCCGGATGCCTTGTTTATCCTAGCCAGAGTGTGCCGTTGACAAACTCTTGAAGGCTGCTGGCAGCGAGGAACAGAAGAGGCAGCAGAAAGCGCTGGCAGACGCCAGTCCTGTCCTGCCAGGACTTAACGGTTCATCAGGAAAGGCCCGATGCAGACCGACAAGAGACCGCTGGCTCCACGTGCCTCCTCGAATGCACGTGTGTAGCACTTTACTACTGACAGGCTTTGAAACAAGCATGAGACACAGGTGCAGAAGGGCTTCAGCCACCTCGCCATTCCAGTGGGGAAACTGAGGCCCAGGGGATAGGCCCCAGGGCTACCCAGATCGTGAAGGAGCATAGGCCTTGAGCTTACTGGTGCCAGATGACCTGTGTAGACAGTTGTTTGAGGGTATGGGAGGGGGAATGCCCAGAAGGCCCAGGGAGCAATCAGAGGTAGAATTTCAGTCACGGAAAGAGTGCGTATAGGCCGGCTTGACAACGGAGACATTTGCAACCATGTCTCCAGTTGTCTCACCTTTATCCCCTCCTCCACCTAGGTAGAGGTTGACGATGTCAGGTGCAGGTAACTGGGTTTGTACCAAAAGAGTATCTGTTTTCTTTTCAGCTTGGGGCTAGTACTTGTTCTTTAAGACACTAGCAAGAATGGAAGTAGACAAGGAAGAAAAAGAGGTGGGAGTGAGTGGTTAGGGTCACCGGCTTTGGAGGTGCTGGTCCAGGTTCCCAGCTCAGCCCCAGCAGTTGTGAGCTCCACAGGGAGGAATTTAGAGGCACGGGGAGAGGACTTTGAAGTAGGTCACTGGGCCATACTGAGCTCCAGGAAGACAGGGCTGGTCACGGTAGCACCTCACTGGGTTGTTGGAGATGGGGCGAGATACCAGGACCAAGGGCTTATTAGCATGGCGCCGGCCGTGGGGCGCGGTCTTGATAAACGTGAGCTCTTGCCATCGTCTGTGTCGCCCGTGTCATCGTTGTTGAAAGATCCTCCTCTAGCCAGCTCCCCTCCTCTGAAGAAGAATGGAATTTAAAGGGTGTTGGTAGAGGAGCCCAAATCCTGCATTGCTTTGGATTCTGTAATACTGCTTTCTACTTCTGAGGCCCAAAGAAAAGGAAATGAATTTAAACTGTGCTATGAATAGAATTCAAATGAGCGATCCAGAAAGACTCTGAAAACTCAGGGACTGCCAAGCAGGAGCACGGCGGTTGTTAGAATGCACACAGGAGTGTTTTGTAAACTGAACTGCGCTGCGAAACTGCAGGCCGATCTCCTCGAACCCCGGCAGTCTCCTGGGATTCGGCAGGAACCGGCAGATAGCTGCGGTGCCCCCTGTACATGCTGGAGCTGCAGTTCTCTCCTGTTTGCAGATAAGAAAGGTCTTCCCGCCGATTAGTCACGGAGATAGGACTTGAATCCAGTCTCCTGATTTAACCTTGTGTGCCTGGCACTTAGTAGCACCTATGTAAATAATTGTGGACTGAATAAAGGGCTTCCTGAGGGACCACGTGACTGTGAGGCACATCATCGTTCCCAAAGCCGTTTCCCATCTAATTTGGTTGGTGAGACTCCTGGCATTTTAAAAAATGAGGGTTCTTCTCTGCCATGCAGGAGAGCCAGCTGCAGGCAGGAGTGCTTCTGCCTGCAGGGGCCAGGATGGCTGCCTTCTTCTGGAACCAGGGATCACAGGAACCCCCCAACACACACACACTCCCGATTACAGGCCCTGACTTAAGGAGGTGCTCTCCCGGGTGGTGGCAGGGGGAGTGACACCCTCTCACACAGAGATTCCCCCAAAAACTGACATCTTTGGGTACAAACTACATCCTCTGCTAAGCACTGTATGCATCTTGTCTCATTTGATTATCACTTATACTCTGGTGTAGGTGCTAATCATTAGCCCCATTTTACAGATAGGCAAGGCGAGGCAGAGAGATGTTAGCAACTTGCCCAAGGTCGCACAGCAAGTGGCAGCCCCAGAATTCAAGCCCAGAAAGCTATACTGCATGGCTCAAGTTTGTACCCACTTCCTCTTTGGGCCTAAAGGGACTTTAAAGGTCATCTCGTGGGGGCTACGGGCCTTCCCAGGCCACTGACTGCCCCTTCCCAGTCAGCCATATTGTGGCCCATGTGGTTCCGTGTTCTCCTAAGGGCAGATTCCCAGCTAAGGAGAAGGGCCAAGCATGGGTTCAAGAGGTCCCAGTTGGCCACGGATCTCCAGGCCGCTTCCTCCGCTGCCGCAGAGGCAGTAAGTGATGGGCGATGGGTATGGGCCAGGAGCTGACACCCACGCAGGCTCAGGGCCACACCCACGCGAGCTCCAGGCCACAGTGAAATGCAAACGTGGCCCTTTATCAATGAACACACACTGATGCACACACAGAGCCACCTCGCGACCCTCCGGAGAGGGGCTCCTCTCTGGCCACTCTGCGAGCCCCAGCGTGGGCGCGGCTAATAACGCCTCCCACTGTGTCCCCCTGATTGAAGCAGCCCCCAAGCCGCAGGGACACTTGCTTGATTAGTCGCCAGAGCCCAGCCTGCAAGCAGCCTCCTGAGGAGCCAGGCAGCTGCGGGAAGGGAGGTGGGAATTGACAAAGAGCCAGTTTCCCTCCGGGTTTCCTCAGAGGCCTGGCGCAGCCCTCGCCTCAAAGTGATGTCGGGGAGGTGGCACCACCCTTGTTGGGTGAGAGCTGGGGGTACAGTTTGAAAGGTGCCTGGGACCAGGGCACCTAAGTAGTCCTTTTTCTTATTCCTTTAAGGTGATTGCATTTACAAAACTTTCCTAAGCAACTCGTGGGTACAGCTATTTTGGTTGTCCACTGTCTTGGAATGAAAGCAGGCCTGGACCCTGGTCATCCACGTGTGGTGCATGTGCCAGCAGCCTTGGCAGCCTTGGGGAGTGGGTTAGGAATGCAGAGTCTCGGGTCCCACCCCAGAACTACTGAACAGACTCTGCATGTTGACAAATCCCTGGTGATTTGTGTGGACATGAAAGTCTGAGAAGCACCAGATGAACATCACTGCTAATAGATAAAGCAGGAGTTGTGGGTCATAAATCCTCCATCCAGTGTGAGCAGGAAGGAGCCCGGGGGTGGAGCTGGGCCTGGCACCTGAGTCCCCAGACCGATCTGTGGTCTCGGCACCACCCCACCTCTCTTTATGGTCAGACGGACGCCAGATCTCCCAGAGGAAGCTTTCAGTGCCAGGGACCGCCCCCAGCACACCCCTCCCCTCCGAACTGTAGAAGATGTGGGAGGCGTGCATCATCTCCTCCTGAGTGAGGTGTGCATGTCCTTGTCCCCCAGTCAGGGCCTGCGGGGTCATTTAGAGGCAACGAGAGCTTTGGCCCCAAGCCCAAGTCCCAGGTCCATCACTGGTGATTCCGTGACCACAGGCGAGCGCCCCACCTCCCTGCACCTGTTTCCTCCTCTGTAAAATGGGAAGAATAGGGCTGATGCAAAGTCCTGGGAGGACTCCGCCTGTCTTGTTGCAGGGCATGTAATCTGGTAGCCGTGAAAGAATGAGCCC